AAAAAAGTTGTTATTTGTCACCCTCGGTAGAGTGCTATGGTGTCACAGCTCACAGCAACCTCCAGCACTTGGGCTTACGTGATTCTTTTTGCCTCAGCCTCCCAAGTACCTGGAACTACAGGTGCCCACCAAAACGCCCAGCTATTTTTTGTTGCAGTTTGGCCGGGGCCAGGTTCGAATCCATCATCCTCGGTATGTGGGCCTGGTGCCCTGCGCACTGAGCCACAGGCGCCGCCCCAACCAAAGGATTTCTTAACTCTAATTATTTTGCTAAAGGCAGTTGACTTAACACTGACAATGTCATTAATTGCTTCCTCGCTCTGAAAGCCTTTGACAAATCTCCTGAGGTTAGCTGTGAGTTTATGCCTGCCTAAAATTGACAGAAGGATTTTATGAAAGCTTTAAAGAGAATTACACTTGTTAAACTAAAGGTGTAACTAAGACTATTGTCTTTTTTTGTGCTGAGGGAAATGATTTTCATCTCTTTCGTTTTCCCCATCTATTTTTATGGGTTTTTTTATTTTTATTTTTTTTTTTAATAAGCTAGTCTTGGTTCTTTATTTTTATTCCTCCCTGTTTATTTTTTATTATTTTTTTGAAGATTGCTGAAGGCACCTATAGTACAGTTACTCTTAACTCTGCTTTCTTTTCCAAGGCTGTTTCCCTCGTCTTCTCATCTTCCTCCTCCTCCCCTGCCTCCTCTCCTCCTACTCTCCTTCCTCTTCCTCCTCCTCTCACCCTCCACTCCCTCTCATTTAAAGATCTTCTTAGGAAAACATCCAAGTTTTCTCTCAAGGCAATGGATGAACTCCCCACAGCAGTATCTTCAACTCTTGGATAAAGAAATCTGAATGAGAAGTTTAGCCACGGCAACATTGAAATGTGAGGAAATAGAAGCAAAAGAAAAGAAGACAAATGTAACCGTAACTTCAATGCAAGGAGGTTTCTAGCCCTAGGATTAAATCTGATGATAGTAGGAAGGCTCTAAGTGAGGCCATGGTTAATCAAAATTATGGTGTGTGTAACAGAAAGTGCAGTTGTGCTCCTTTCCTTGGGCGCCTAAGGAAGAGACAACTGTGTGTGCGGCTTGACGTGAAGTGGCAAGCCTGGTACAAGGCCCAGAGCAAAGGGCTGGCATTGAGTTTCTTCTGTCTGTGGGAATAGAACGATCTCTGAATCAGTTTGCTTATAAAACAAGGAGAAGGTACCAGATGTATCTGCACCTCTTTAAAATCTATTTTGCATCCACATATATGTGTGCATGTGTATATATATGTGTGCGTGTATATACATAGAGACATATCATCAACTCTCACTAAAGGAAGAACTTGATGGAGTGGGCCAGGGCCTGCCTGAAGGCACTAGGAGGGAGTCTTGATGTGGTTTGGGGGGTAGTAAGCAAAGCTGAAGGCCCTGTTTGCCTTTCTTAGGACATATTAGAAACTTCCGGCAGGAGCTGTGTTGGGCTGGTTTCTCTGAGACTGCCTGTAGTAACGAATGTTAGAAGTTGTATAGGATTATAGTTATCTGGTCATGTCTTCTTCCTCGGAAACCTTTCTGCCTCAGTATCTAAGTTTCTTGGTAAGTTGACCTTGCCTACCTTGCTGTATTTATTCCTGCTCTTCTGGCCTCCCACCACATTGTCATCTAGCTTGGTGACGGTGAGCTGCGTGAGGGTTTATGTGTCACCTTGGTGGAGCTCACAGTGCCTTGCACTGAGATGGTCAGAGCTCACTCATGCAGGAAGAGGGATCCTTATTATGTGATTTGTAAAAGCAGGGAGAGTGTGGGGTGCTGGTGGGGACATGGGCTCTCTGGGGAGAGGGGAGGTTTGCTGGGCCTCACTGCACGCAGGGGCAGCCTGGACAGTGCAGTCTTGGTCCTCCTGCAGAATCCCCAGTGTGGCCCGACCAGGATGGAGGGTCAAGCTGGCTAACGTGTCCTTGGATGAAACCAAGCACAACTTGTCAGCCACTTAGAAGTTGATCCCAAGGGAAGAGCCAGCGTCACTTAACCGCCGTGCCATTGTTAGGATGGTGATGAAGATAATGATGCTGACAATTAAAAAGATAATTAATTGTTTTCCTTCTTTTAGTCACATAGAAAAAATCACCACATGGCAAGACCCTAGGAAGGCGATGAATCAGCCCCTGAATCATATGAACCTCCACCCTGCCGTCAGTTCCACACCAGTGCCTCAGAGGTCCATGGCAGTGTCCCAGCCAAATCTCGGTAAGCCCCAAGCTTTGACTCCGAGCGGAAGAAACGCCTATTCAACCCAGGGTCTGTGGGGCTCAGAAGTGGCCCTGGCTGTCTCTGTCCTTCACTGTGGTTTTTAATCCCTCTTGGCTGGATTGCCGTAGTACCTTCCTCTGCCTTCGCTGCCTTTCCTCGGCTACTTTGCCACCAGGTCACGATGCTGCTACCTTAGGTTTACACTATAGTTCCAGCACCCCTCCGGTTGCCTTTCAGCGTCCTCTGAAAAGTCACTTACACTTCCCGTCGTCACCTAGACTAAGGCCAGCAGGGCACGTGCCCCTCTCTGTGGTTTAGCCCCTGAAGACTACCCTACAGTTGGCTCGGCGCCTGTGGCTCAAGTGGCTAAGGCGCCAGCCACGTACACCTAAGGTGGCGGGTTCGAATCCAGCCCTGACCCGCCAAACAACAATGATGGCTGCAACCCAAAAATAGCTGGGTGTTGTGGCGGGCGCCTGTGGTCCCAGCTACTTGGGAGGCGGAGGCAGGAGACTCGCTTGAGCCCAGGAGTTGGAGGTTGGTGTGAGCTGTGATGCCACAGCACTCTGCCCAGGAGGACAGCTTGAGGCTCTGTCTCAAAAAAAAAAAAAAGAAAAAGAATACCCTACAGTTGCAAACTCTGGTCTCAAATCCCTTTACTCCTTTTCCCTTTTTGGGGGGGGAGGGGTGCATAATAACTTCAAACTACATGTCTGACAGCAGGCTAGGTGCTTTCATGCTTTTATCTTATGAAATCCTCCAAGTAACCCTACACAAAGTAACAGACTCTATAGTTCATAGATGATGAAACTTTCTGGAAGTCACACAGCTTGTGCATTGCAGAGGTGAGCAGCAGCGCAGATTGGTCCGAGTTTAGAATGCAGTTAACCATTGCATAATTCTCCCCATACTTGCTGCTGGATGATAGGATCACTTTTCACTTTATTTACAGCAATTAAGTGTGATTTTAGACTTGAGGATATTTTCTGCTAATAATATGCCCCCTAGAGATAATCACCAGTAAATCAATAAAGGATAGTAACAGAACTGGCCAGGTCTTTTGGTAGCCATTCCTCTCCTCCCCCTTCAGTGCTAAAAAAAAGGGCCAAATTTAAAGTTTTATTATGTAAAAGATGGTGCTTTTTTTCCCAGATAACATTTCCATTTAAGATCAGATACCCAGATACTGTTTTATACACGGCACAGTTAATTTTAGGGAGTAAAAAGAATCTCCCGTTGGATTTTCAGGAATGAACAGGATAAAAATGGAAGCGTTATTCCTGGACACCCTTCCCTCACACTGTGGCTTAGCCAAAGTGAGTATGAACTCAAGCAGACCCAAGTCAGCTCCAAGTGTCTGTTCTTCCAGGAAGTCTGAATCTTCTGTTTTAAAGCTTGCTGATGTACACTCTGCCCAAAAAGCAAATGGTGTGGGATAACCTCTGCTGTGTTCCTTATCTAAAGGGCAGATCAAAGAAAATGGCACTAGTCCTTGTACCAGTGGTGGTAAATCAAAGTTCCCATGAGTCATTTATTCCAAAAATATAGGAAGGAGGGCTGTGCCTGTGGCTCAAAGGAATAGGGCACCAGCCCCATATACCGGAGGTGACGGGTTCAAACCCAGCCCCAGCCCAAAAAAAAAAAATACATACATATATATATGAAGGAGCTTATGTAGATTATGTACAAAGCAGATGTCAGTGTAGTAAAGAAACCCAAATTTGGTGGCATTAGACTAGTTTTGTGGTTTCTTTAGCTATTTAATGTTCATTAAAAATTCTGAAAACTGATTATTAAGGTTTTAACTTTAAGCTTATAAGTCAGTCTTTCTCGAATCCCCATTTCCTCAGTCCCCCGTTTGTTTCCTGGAGCCAGCCAGTGCTTCCAGTGGTGTCTGTGTGTGCTTCCTCACACGAGTGCGAGCGTAGTGGAAAGCTGCCTGTGCCTTGCCCTTTTCACCTCCATATGGAGCTGCCTCATTCTTTTAAAAACTTGCCTGATAGGTTAACATGTGGATATACTATAGTTTATTTAACTAGTTCTCATCTGATGAGATGTTGTTACCGGTGTGCTGGCAGTACACCCAGTACTGGAGTGACTATCTTTGGTCATGCTCTTTGATGCCTTCTCCTTAGTTTTTGTTTTGTTTTTCTGATACAGGGTCTTGCTTTGTTGCCCAGGCTAGAGTATAGTGTTGTCATCATAACTCACTGTACCTCAAACTCTTGGGCTCAAATGATCTTCCTGCCTCGGCCTCCCGAGTAGTTGGGACTACAGGCTCATGCCTTGATACTCAGCTACTTTTTCCTATTATATTAAGATGGAGAGTCTCATTCTTATTTAGGCTGATCTCGAGCCCATGACTTAAGTGATCCTCTTGCGCTGGCTGGGATTATAGGTATGAGCCACTGTACCTGGCCTCTTCTTAATTAAAAAAAATTGCACAGGCTCGGTGCCCATAGTACAGTGGTTATGGTGCCAGCCACATGCACCAAGGCTGGCAAGTTTGATCCCAGCCCTGGCCAGCTAACCAACAATGACAATTGTAACAACAAAAAAAGCCAGGCGTTGTAGCGGGTACCTGTAGTCCCAGCTACTTGGGAGGCTGAGGCAAGAGAATCACTTGAGCCCAAGAGTTTGAGGTTGCTATGAACTGTGATACCATAGCACTCTACCAAGGGTGACATAGAAAGACTGTCTAAAAAAAAAAAAATTGCACAATAAGTAGGAAGTTGGCTAATTAAATTAGAATAACCTTAAATGCTTGAAACTTAATATTGAAGGCACACATGAGTGTCTACAAACACAATTGCAGTAGTAAAGTATATCTAAAGAAGTTATAATCTGAGCATTCTGAAACCAAGTCACCTGTGACTGAAGAAAATACCTTAGTTTTCATATTTGTAATAAATCAGCACAATGAATTTCTCAAGACACATAATCTTGGCTTTTTCCAACAACATTTGAGTATTTGCCCATTGCAAAATGAGTTGCTATCTTACAGAGAATCACAGATGTGTTCAAAGGATGGAAATATCACTGGGAATGCTGAGTAAGTTCCAAAGACCGTGAGATAATTTATAGCCACAAAGCTGTCCTAATAAGAAATGATTTATTCAGAATATTTCATTTCAAGCTATAACTCTGCCTGCGGTTCATGGTGTTTATCAGTCTTTAAAAGTAAAAAAGAGCAGATCCTCTCTTCTTCTTCTTTTTTTTTTAAAGCTAGAACTTTGATACTTTGTAGTAGAATATAGCTGACTTAGTGAACTTAAGTGATATGTCCCCTTCAATGGGCGATATTTATGTACTTGTTACATGTGAAAAGGATGCCGAAGTATGGTTAATAAGATTACTATATGCTAATTTTATGTGTCTCTTGAGCTGTGATATAATCAGTGACATAGTTAAGTAAATTAAGGAATACATCTCCTTTTTTGAGAGCTCACATTTTTTTGTAGGTTAGGTACATGGATGCAGGAATCAGAATGCCAGATTTGAGTCCCAGCTCTGCAGTTCCTACTTCGGTGACCCTGTTTAGTTACTTAATTGTGCCTCACTCTGCCCATAGGTAGAAAGGGGATAATTAATGATATGAGCAAATACAGGTGGCCATAAAGTTCATACGTAATTTAAAATAGTGTGCAATTTTGCACACGAACTTTATGGCCACCCTGTATGTGGGTTTATATATGTAAAATACTTAGAACTGTACTTGCTAAAATGAATGTCTATTCTTATTGTCACCATTATTCTGTGTGGAAAAAATTTTTATGTTTTATTTAACTATAGCATGTTATGTTTGGAGATAATTTCATTGCTCGCTCTAAGGTTTTCAAGAAAAAAGATTTTTTTTTTTTTTGAGCTGGTTAGAATGCAGAGTGCTTTAAGTTAGGGGTGATGAATTTCATCGCTTTCAGGGAAGAGAGTGCCCCCTGGTGTAAATGTTTCCATTCCTTGGTCCCCTGAGAAACTTCTTACTGGTAGATATTTTATTTCTTCTAAGAACTTTTTATTTATTTATTTATTTATTTTTGAGACAGAGTCTATGTTGCTCTTGATAGAGATGTACCCCTGAAATAGTTTACAAATAAAGTCATAGTTTATCTGTGAGAAGAGAGATCCATCACTTAAAGTCATCTTGGAGCAAGTAACGTTGTAAAAATAGTAGTTCTTTCTGCCTGTTGGCGGATTTGTTTTACTCTCTCTGAATTGTCAAACACCTAAGTCAAATGAAATAAGCTCTGGAGGGGAAGCTGCAAAAATAATTTTTTTTTATACTTTAGTTCAAATAACCATCTCCAGCTTGGTGTAGTTTTTAACTGAAGTTTTAGTTTTTGTATTAGGTACAATACAAACCTAAGGTTTTACCCAATTTGATTCTGTCAGAGCGGATTAGTGACCTTTAAGCGTAATGTCCAGATGTGCCCAGTGAGTGGAAGAAAAAAAGAAGACCTTGGAGGTCTTTGGATAGTGATGAGGAGAGGTTACCTCTCGATGGAAGCCCTGCCACTGTTGTCATATCTAACTAGTTTAGAATCCTGACTTAATAAGTCACACGATGGGGGTGGGAAGTTTTATTTTTTCGTAACACAAACCAGATTGACTTTTGGATGTTTTAAGTAGATTACTAGCCTTAATTAATACCTACTAGAAATTTTAAAGGAACAAAAAAAATGAAACAAACAAACAAAAAATAGACGGTCTATGTAGGCCCTGTTATAAAATATATATAACGTGGACCCTGGAGAACGGAGCCTGCTGGGAAACTTAGTCCTTTGTTAGGGTGATGGTGAAATGGGCGTGGATTGGGCTGTTTTAAATGGTGTTTGACAGGAAGAATATGGAGGCAGAATTAGGTTTCTCTTTGGGTAGCCATGTATTAGTTGGATTACTTAGCCTCTCTGAGTCTCATTTTCCTTATCTGTAAAAGGGTGATAAAGACTTAGCATCTGGTAAGTTGTTGGTTTTTTTTTTTTTTTTTTTTTTTTTTGAGA